ATGACAATAACGAAGGAAATAATCGTGACAATAATTCCAATTTTTTTTTGGTAGCTCAGACACAAACTGAAACTACAACCACTAATAACTATGATGATAGCAAAAAGTTCGTGTCTTCGGTAGCACCGCAGATTGAAATCAAAGATATTATAAGTAATGAAGAGAGGTACTGTAATTATTTATGCTGACAACTACGAAGCAAGAATCCTCACTGTTTTTTGAATAGGATAAACGATGCACTGGAAATGAGTGCCAAAGAGACCATTCGAAATGATGGGAATAAATGGATTTCATGTGGCATCGATTTACAGGAAGCACTAACAAAATGGACAAGTAAAGGTTCGACCGCGCACTGAGTAAGCTTTTTTTTAATTACGTGTGTTCAGTATGTGATAAATTTGAACAGATCTAATGTAATGTACTGATGTTGGAAATTTTTAGTCTGGCATTCTATGACATCGTAGATATCACACCAGGTTCGAATAGTGATTTTCTACGATCACTACCTGACAATGCAGTGCATGAAATAAAACAGTTAATACCGTCAACAACACTTAATACGAACAACGAAATGAAAGATTACATTATTGAATTTATTAAGATATCATTAGTTTTGTGATTTTTAATGTAAATATTTGTTGCTTTGCTCTAAATTTTTCTTAACGTCTCACGATGTAAACAAAAGAATTCCGTAAATTTGTGGATAAGAGCTACTTGAAAACGCGAGTCAATAATACTACAAAATTTATATGGAATTACTTGACTATTCTGTAATAATTAAAAGCCATTTATATGTTTCTTTTACCTTTGATCTTATATTCAAGTGTTTTTTTTTCTTAGTGTTGAATCATTTGAAAGGGATAACGATTTAACGAATTATAATCTGTCTGAATTTGGGTATCGGGAAATATTTTTTACCCCTCTAATTCGAAGTCTTTTCCGAGGCACGCACCAGGAAGTGAATATTTATTTGTAGGTATACGAATAACATGTTATAAAATTTTTTATATCATTTTTTAAACAAAAAAAAGCCTATTTGCTTCATTAGAAGATCGTAATCGGGGAAAAGATGATGGGGAAGACCGTAATGCAGGCCGAAAAATAGACATTATCTGGTCTATGAAGCCAACTGACCTTGAGTTCTTATTAGTAAATCAGTGGGCCACCGAACAAACTCGATCATTCACATTCTTTAATGACAAACTTAAAATTGCCAAGAATTTAAAAGTTATCATTAATAGGATTGTGAAAGAGTATGGTGGTACGGGCATGAACTTGAGTTTATTAAAATTGTACGGTCTACACGTTTATTGTAAGTATTGCCAACTTTGAAAATCGTTAATATTGTACAAAACTAACATTTTATTACTTTTCATAGATAATGAAATGATTGTTTATGAAATGTCAATACCATTTCGTGGCCTGTATGTTTTTCGTGAGGTTTTACAATCAAAATTACCAATGAATGCTGTTGAAGTGGGGTTAATAAAACTTTCTGTACCAGCATTTATCGAATTTAAGGTTTGTTTTCATTCTGATCTAATTATATCACATTAGCTTCTTACATTTATTTACGAAATTTTTATTGTTGTACTGCTATATCATTAGGAATTGATTGAAAAAAGTTTGACTGATCTGAAAAGTTATATTCTGGATGCATGTACCCGACACCCGAAAGAAAGAAAGTATTTCAAAACATCATCAGTCACTGGTCAATTTTACAGCCACATCATAATCAGCCTTCATTTATCAGTTATATTTGACTGGCTTTGTTTGCAGCATGCCCCAAGTAAGGAATGTTCCTATTTATATTTAGCAATTATCAGCAGAAGATTCTCAATTAGGCTAGTCGAATCTAATTAGAGTTCAAAATAAACATCTTCCAGAAAAATCTGTACGTTCCACAAACGATCTGCACATTACACAAAATTTTCAAGCCGCTCATTGGTTAATTGAGAAAATTTTGGCTGAAGATCGCACCATGTTACTTTTAGGGTCGAAGCACTGTTGTACAACCATAATAAAAGTGTCTGAATTATTGACTATAATTACAATTTGCGAAAAATTGAATTATGGACTTCATTAATTACAAGAAGTATATTGAAGAAAACGACCTGGTTATTGCCTTTGTGGTAAAATTCAATTATAACGATTTTATTGTGATAAAGGATTATTTGTCTTAGGCTAACTACATGATAGAAACGCGAGCCTCCTTTCTTGCTAAAGGTAGACTCGAAAGCTTCGTATAATAATAAATTTGGAAACTTCAAACATAGCGATATAATTGGGAAAGAATATGGAAGTCGAGTATGTCTTAAAATTTTGCATATGTCGTATGTCGTGTTGTTTGAATTCTTTCCGATTTCCTAATAATGTGCGATGATTTTTTCCCCGAACAGATTCCATCGCACAATCAGAAAGCCTACATGTATCTTCTTTATCCTACTCCCGAATTATGGACGATGGTCCTTCCACATAGAACGCAAATTCTCTATATGCCGGATATTGCATTTATCACGACCGTTCTGGATTTGAAGCCTGGATCCATCGTACTAGAGTCAGGTACTACTAAATCCAGGATACATAATGGATATGGATAGATTCTACATGTAAACCTCATTCTCACCAATTAACAGGAACCGGAAGTGGGTCATTCTCTCATTCTATAGCCAGGACGATAGCACCTCATGGACATTTGTATACTTACGAGTTTCATGAAGAGCGTGCAAAATTGGCAAGGTATTCTTAGTAAGATGACATTATGACCAATCATTATGAAAAGCGTTTACAAGCTTACGCTTTGATAGACAAGAATTTAGTGATCATGGACTTGGTAACATTATCTCAATAGAATGCAGGGACGTATGTAAAAATGGATTTAGTATAGAAAACCGTGTGAATGCAGGTAATTGTCATCGTTCATTTTTTCGTTTTGTTTTCGATTTGATTCGTTCTTTCCACTGAGGAAACGGAACTGTACATTCGTTAGTATTCCTAGACTTGCCTGCTCCGTGGGAAGCCATAGCATCGGCAAAAGCCGCATTTAAGGTATTATTATGTTGGCATTGAGTTTTCTGACACATGTGGTCATACTGACACGCGCAATTTCGAAGCAAAATCAAATAGGAAAGATATGTTGTTTCAGCCCCTGTTTAGAACAAGTACAGAGGACATGTGTGGTTTTAAATGAAGCTGGCTTTAGTGGTGTGTGTTACTAGTTGTCAAGAGTTTATTCAAAATGTTGCCTGTGGCTAACAATTTCTTTAATACCAGAAATCCAGATGTTTGAGTGCTTGGTAAGAACTCATGACGTTCACACGATTCCGGTCTATACGATCTCGGACGTGGTAGCAAAACTTAAAGCCCAGCAGGCAAAAAAGAGGAAAAGGGTTAGCGAAGACGAAGATAGAGAAATGGAGCCGGAGCAAAGTAAACAGGGGGAAAAGAGTGATCCACCCAATCTGTATGTCTCCAGGACAACCAGAGAGACCAAGGGGCATACTAGTTACTTGACATTTGCGACATTCTCGCCAGTCTCAAATGAAGAATTGAATGCCTCATAAAAAACATATTGTATTCAGATGGCTATCATCGATGGTTGTAACGACAAGATCAATCCGATAAGCTTCATTTGCACGCTTACACTTTCGTGTTACATAAATGATTATCATGTTGCTGCCTCTTGTTAAGAGCCTATATCTGTAGAACTTTTGGCAACCGACCATTTTATTTCACAAAATATAAATCGACTAAATGATGTCCCGTCACTTTATTGGAATTATAATTTCAGTCATTGTGCCTTTGCAAACCTTTCCGCGACGGTCTTCCAGTTGATCACAGACCAGATTGCCTTGAGATAGTCTGGCCGCACGTTTTTGTATTGTAGGTAATATGCCTAAACCAGTTAGAAAATAGTTAATAAAATTATCGGAAATCGCACGAGAAGGAACAGAGCTGAGTTATATACATGTTCCCAGACATCAACACCCAGGAGCGGTACGTGAGCTGCAATCATAGAGTAGAGCGAAAGAAAATATGAGGATACTGCCGAAGCAAGAACGACGTCTGAAAGTAAATAAGCTCTCACTTGTCAAAGGGTCCTGGTTAGGTAAAGTAACTATCTCGATCCGCTTGGAGCTCTTATTGTAACCCTTTGCACGGAAATCAAATGTGAGTTCCTTATTGTCACGTCATGTCTATGAAACGAATTAATACTCACCAGCCATCCCCATCCGGATCCTACTCGTCATCAGGTAGCAGACATAAACTCATTAGCACGAATGTCAACCTTTTAAGTAAAGCCTTTTCATATCTCAGCATACCTTGCACAGCAGCAGTGGTCGTATTGAATTTAGAAATGAAGTCTTCAAGACTTCCAAATTCCTTCTGGATTGCACTAAGCAAGGCCCCTAAACAAAAACGATATATAAAAAGTTCGAATCGTTGACAGAAAATGTATTAATAAAAGTAATAAAGACTTCAGACATACCTTTTGGCGGCTCACCACCGCCCTTAGAGACTGGAGCAAGATTTTCCCAAAAGAGTGAGTGATTGATATGGCCTGCCAAGAAGGGATGCAAGCAAATCAAACTCAATCATACGGTATGTCTACTGATCGTTGACAATTCACATTCTCCAGAATTGTCCTCCAGTGACGGACAATACTCACCGCCACCATTGAATTTAATGGCTGACTGTAAGGCGATCTGTGAGGTAAGATCTCCATCACGTAAAGCTTGCTCATATTTTTCTTCAGCAGTGTTTAAACCGTTCACGTAGGCGGCGTGATGTTTATCATGATGTACTTTCATAATTTCAGCGGAAATAGCTGGTTCGAGAGCCTGTAGTGAAAAATGAATGACATTCATTTTCTATGGAGTGGCCCAATGCAAACGAGCAACTATGTTTATCATGTACGTTATAATCATACGGAAGGTCAGGCACGCTGTGCTTTGCCCGTATAGTCATAGAAAGGCATCTCACTGCCGATAATCTTGTTCCGATGCGTGTTGAGAGGTGAAGCATCTTTGAAGCTCTGCTGAATGTTTTATTGACAAACTGCTTTATGTTCAGATTTGACCACCAAAAAGTTTCTCACTTTGTGTAATAGTCATGAACGTGAGTATTAAGAATTTTGATGATGATAATCAAAACCGACAACTAGCATTGTTATGTGAAACATTTTTCAGTAATGCGTAACACCGGCAGAAGAATTTTCTCACGAAGCAAGCACCAGATTCTGGGAAATGAAGAAACGGTGTAACGATAGAGATTGGCACTGCGTAAAAGTTAGAACTTACTTTATAAGTATACGCGCGTGCGACATTGGGATCATTAGAGGCAATGGTAATAGACCTGATGAAAGAAGTACTCGTCGCGTGATATACACCATGGATTGAATAAATAACCTTGGCGTTAAAATGTTTAGTCATTGTAACAAGGATAAATGCAATAATCATTGAAACTAATATTAACAAAAGTAATGAATAGATTATAACTCACTGTAGAAACGCCACAATTTGTCTACGTCATATTGTATCTTTTATTTGCAATCTAGTTTGCGTCTATGCTTGTTATAGTTAAGTGTAAGCATAACCAAGGTTTACAGCTTGGGAACTCGCTTTAACCAATGATTCGAATTTTCGTATTAGTATCCACAACTTTTCGTTGATTATAGCCTATTTCTCTAGTCATTCTGATGCAAATTTATGTTTTACTATCCTTTTTATTATAACTTTTGTTATTACTATTATTGTTACTACCTCGATTCTTTATATTCCTTTTCATCATCTTTAAAGTTTTGTTTTTTCTTCGTTCTTCATTTATCCAATGCTGAAAGCTTCAATGTTTTTTTGTTCTGCGTAAGTAAAAATTTTGGATTGTAGAAGTGGCAACGGCCTCCTTCCGCCAAGTAACTTAAGATTCAAGCGTCATTTAGTTGAACTGACCAATTCAATTCTGTTCCACAACCCGGCGAATAAATTTGTTTTGCTATCAATCGTAGTTTTCGGGGTTTTATAGTCTTAATTAATGAGCCATCCCCCAGTATGATGGGGTTGGCTTGGCTGTTACAAAGTATGTCATTAGCACATGCCGAGAGCAAAGCCAGTCAAAAATGAATTCCATTCGGGAAATTAAACTTGTTTTTTGCGAACTTTTATTACAGTCTACTGACCTTGCATATTCCAGTTTTGCTAGTATTGACATAACTAGCAACGCAAAGCGCCGTGGAACTAATATCAGGTTTAACGACTTAGCATGTTCGCCTTTAATTCAGAAACTATATATAGGTCGCTCACGAAATTTAATTTCACCACAATGATCGTTGTAAAATGAGTACGGATGCAGTCTTCATAAAAGTCAGTATCTGCATAGTAACGCTTTTCGTGGTAAATTCGATTACTGAAAAGTATACTAAGCCCAATGTTAATACTGACGTAACGTTAATTTAATACATCAATCAAAATTGATAACCATTAATAAAAATTTTATATATACAGTCAAACCTCTTTATACCGATATTTTTTTTGATTGAATCAAATTTATCGGTATAAAGAGGTTTGACTGTACTCAAGTTTTGACACAGCGTAATTTGCATTATTATTATTATGAAATTTTTGTCAAGAAAGCATATGTTAAATAGGTTTCCCAAATAGGCTTACACGCATGTCAAAGTTATTTTGGGGGAAGAATGTCATATTGCTTTCTCATCATTTTATAAAAAAAAGGGTTTGGTGAAAGATATTTGAGTGAAATCGAGAGCTTCCTATGCTAATACTATAAAATTAATAATTAATAGCATACCACAAGAAAAAGATTCGAAGCCTTTTAGAGTTGGTGTATAAGGCGAGATGTTCTCTAGAGGTTGGGTATTAAAGATGTTTGAGGAAATGGAACAGTTAGATTATGTAAATACAATTATATGTCTTGTGTCAAAAACTTTTGAACCGCACGTCAAACTCTGTTATAAAAAACAAAACATCAAGTTATAAAACCTAAAATTAAAAGTTAATACACGTAATAATTGCTGGTTAAACCTGAGACAATTTAATCAGCGCTGGTTTAAACAGGTTTTACCTGTATAATCCTCAACTACTAGATAAGAAAATTAATCTGCATCTTTTCTCATTTCTCGATGTAAACACATTAGTATTAGTACCATTTAGTATCCAAGCTCACCAAACGTTTTCAAATTGCATTTATCGAGGAAACCAAGAATGTTTCATTCCGACCATCTTCGCTCGAAACATTTGTACGGTATTTGTTTTGGACATTAAGGCAAAAAGTGACGAGTTGGAATCGCAAAAAACTCAAAAGTTTATCCATATCCAACTTATACTTTAAATCCAGCGTAGCCATAGTTGTGCAAGTTGGGATTGTACAAGTGAAAAATTATTGTCGACTTTAGCGAGACTAAAAAGAGAAACGCGCGACTAATCGCATGTAATGAGGAAAATCAGGAAATAATTTACGATTACATGATATTAATTATAGGCCATGTGCGAGTCACAGATAGTCCACAAATGCTTTATTGTACTAAATGTATAGCAAAATCCTTTGGATATTGTGCAGAATTAATTTTTCAGGTACATGCGAGGATTGCAAGCGAGATAGTATGATGCCATCAAAGAGGGAGAATTTAGACGAGTCCCTGCATCAAGTTATTTTTGCTATCTCAGATTTTTTATAAATTTCTACATGACATCTAACTTGCAAATCTCAATCGTATTTGTCTTTTGGAGATATTTTAAAGCTGGGTGAGTGTCATTGTGTAAATACTAATACATTTCAAAAATCAGGGTGTTTAGTTATTGGTCTTTCTTTAATTCTTAAATTAGGTTTTTTTATTCAAATTTGAAAGCAAGCATTAAGGGTAAAAACTTTGTCGTCTACTAAAAGAAATTAGGTTTTAAATTAATATCGTAAATAAGTCGTAAGTCTTCATTTAACTTGAGTTGGACGAAGAGTTAAGGGAGAATGAACAAATGTGTCAAAAAATTTTATTTTCTTATTCAATCACTAATGCAATCTGTATCTTGTTTTTATTACAACATTTATAGTCTCATCATTATACTGTAATAGTAATGTGCATCGAAAAATTTATCTATACATATCATTATTGATTATCACTTTGTCTGGTTTTGTTGCAAGCATCCCCATTTCGTTCTTGTTGGTTGAGTTCTCATGCAGTGTCACAATGACATTTACTGGTTCAAACAAAATGTGCCTTAGCATTAGCATTAGGTCTAACGTATAACGTTCAGCATATGAAAAGATACTTTCTTCTAATCTGATGCTTGTGACTTAATATTAAGTATGTCATATCAATGAGATTTGCCCCATCACAGAGAATTAGAATGCAATCTTTCAATCATAATATCATAGTTGGTTCATACTAAAGTAATTTACAAAAAAGAAGAAAGATAATTATGAAGTGTATTATATTTTTTTTGAAAACAATTACATGCATGTGACAACCACAATGTAGTCGCTGGGGTAAACGTTTTTGAAAAAGCAAATTTTTAGTGTAACGATAACCATATTAATATTACGCTCAGAAACATATTTTTTAGAAGCAAACGCAAAGCTTATAGTGGAAAATCTGATTAGATGACAATAAACCAGAATTGGATCTGAAATTTTTATTCAACAAGGAAATAGCTTAAAGAAATCTAAATATTTAATATGGGGCAGACTGCAACAAAACCAGACAAAGTGAACATTTTATAAAATGAGAGGCTGATTATGATGTGGTTCTAAAATTGACCAGCATGACTGATGACATTTTGAAAAGTAAAATGGTGCTAATTCATAACTTATGGAGTTGTTAAATT